GGAAGGGGAAAAAAGTAAGAACCAAGAGACTCATGTAATGGTACAAGATCCCAATGATGAATATAACTGTATTGTATACTGAAAGTGTACCAATAAACTTAATGGGGAAAAAAAAAAAAAAGAAAATGGGCAAAGGGGAAGGGGAAGTGTGAGGGGTAGGGGAAAGAAAAGAAAGGAATGAAATTAATATGAGAAAATGGAAAAATGGAAACAAAGTCTTTGTAAATAGGGAGGGATGGAGGGGTTGAAGGGAGGGCAGGGGAAGGAGGAAAAATAAGAACCAAGAGAGATTATGTAAAGGTACAAATTTTCAATGATGAATGTCATTATATTGTACACCTAAAATGTACCAATAAAATTAATTTTTTTTAAAAAGCTGGAAGGACCTTACACAATCCACCTATGCAGTATCTATTTATTCCCCTTCTCGAAAGCCCAGAATCTGAGAACTCAGTCTGTTCCAGATCATGCCCTCAACCAAGAAAAAAATGAAGTCAGATGTTTTTGGCTTTATGAAAGGATCAAAGCACCTTTCCCCAATGGTGCCAATGATAAACGATGAAGCTCACATACCTTGTCGAAGCAGACAAGGTTTAACTGTCCACATACATTGATCCTCTGAGGACTGATACAGAAGATGCCCCTCTTCTTCAGTCTCCTCTGGGCATAGATAATGCCTGTGGTCAGGGCAGCAGGTAGGGCAGGAGGAACTGCGATGGTGATCACATCGAGAGCTTTCTTCACCACATCCTCTGGAGATTCCTGGAAGACAGTGGTCCCCAGGTCTCGCAGAGACGCCAACAATGAACAGCTTTGTGGGTATGATTTTTCCTTTCTCTGTTTCCTTTCTAGGTCGAATTCTGAGAAATGGTATCAGTGGGTGAAAGGGTATGGTCATGTTTCTGGCTCTACACATCTTTTTGAAAAGTGTAATAAAAAAGTTTGTAACAATAATGCTACCAGAATGTACCAGGTTACTATGACTGCACCAACTTTGAGCATCTGATTTTATTTAAAATTCTTCATTTTAATAGCTATAAAACACTACTTTATTGAAACATATTTCAGATTGAAATTTTTAAAAATGATATAAAGCATGTTGATATTCAGTCAGCAAATCATCTTGTCCCACTATCCCACAAGATCTGAGTGTTACCAAGGGACTTAATGATCAGTTGTTTATATTGAGCCCGTAAGCAGGTGTCTGTGTGGCTTTGTTTCCTGAGTTGTAAACCATGTCCATGAATAAGGTCAACATGTTGATCCTAAAATATACCAAGAGTGAATTTGTTCATGTGATGGGAGAGCAAAGACAGCTTACCCCACTGAGCACATAGACACACAGCGTATAGACCATGCCAATGGTGGCTGTCCCCACGAGACACAGGAGGAACCTGATGGCATCCCTGTAGAGCTTAAAACTCATTGCTTTGGGGTAAAGAATGGATCTCACAAGGTCCCCCTTTGCAGTGTTGAATCCTGAAATGGAAAATAATACCCCATTTTTTTCAGGATGATAAATCCTATTGCTAATATTCTTCTAAATCTCAATACTACCTTTGTTTTACTCTAGGGATATTTAAACATTGTTCAAAGCCAAAGGCAATAATTGGGCAAATACATAATTGATAGAATGGAAATATGTTCTCTCTCTCTCTCTCTCTCTCCCTCTCCTTTTTTCCTCTCCCTACCTCCCTCCTTCCAATTTCAATACATCTCAGGAAACCACTATACTGAGAGTAGAGCACAACTTTTCTAAATATGATTTATCTTAAGGAAATTGTTCACGAGTACACACTTTCACACACACACACACACACACACACACCTTTCATTTGAATTAAAACTAAGTGCTCCAAAAAATACTGATGAACTAGATTTTCTAATGTTTTCCAGAGTTAAGTTTTCCATCTCTATCTCTACCTAGAAAAACTATAAGACCTGAAATTCAGATCCAGCTCTGCCTGTTACTAGCTGTGTCATTTTTTAAACATTCATTTGAATTGCATGGCCTCACTCTATTCATGTAAAGAGCGAAAACTTTCATCATCTTTGCTCTGCTAGTTTGATGTGCAGAAATAGTTTATAAATTGCAAAACACATAAATAGTGACTATTATCATCCATATCATTATGCATATGCCATAGTTCAATTGGAAAATTGGCATTTAAAACACTAGATTTACATACATTTCATTTGCTATTCAAAGATTGATCCTTACCTAATAAATGCAAGGCACTAGGCACCCGAGCAGAACCATTTCATTAAAAATATCAGAGAAGAGGGAGGAGATGCTAACCTGTCTGCAGCACCACGGCTCTCACCATCCTGGAGCAAGCTGCCTTGGTCTGGATCACTTCTGTCCCACAGAAGAGGATGTGCCGCTTGGAATCCACTTCGCTCTGTGTTTTCCAGGGCAGAGGGCTATCCGTCTTGGGTAATGGAGTTTTGGTGACTGGGATACTTTCTCCTACAGAAAACAAGCACCTCATTTTATGGGGTGAGATGAATTCGCTCATGTAAATTGGGACTGTGCCCACTCATCATGCCGCAGATATTTACATGGTAGAAACAACCCTAGGTATTGGGGATACAAAATAAACGTAGCTTAGACAGATAAGGAAATAAGTAGAATTTCATGTTATAATATTGTGAGTACTGTGAATCAAGGATGGATGTTAAGATAGGTTGGACATAACCCATTAAGAGAGTAGCAAACTGTACCTAGAATATGAAGTGTGGGGAAAATAATGGGCCCTATGGGCTACGGAGGAGAGGAAACACGGAGAACCCCATGTGTAACTCAGTTAAGTGTTTGAACATTTTCCTGTAGGCACTGATGACTGGAGGAAGATGGGGGATATCTAACTCCCTTGATCAGAAGATTAGCAACATCTTACGTTGAAGAGAAAATACTCTGTCCGTAGTACATGGGATAAGTTGAAGTCTGGTTAAGGCTGGAGGCTGGGAAAGGACCACAAGAGCCCAGGCAGAAGGGGAAGAGTTTTGAATATGGGAATAGAGGGGAAGTACTGGATTCAAAAATTAAAGAAGTAAGATGCTACAAATCATGAGGAAAATTTTATATTGGCAGGTCTAGGGATCCAGGAATTTAAAACAGCTTCCTGGTTCCTGGTTTGGGAGGTAGAGCTGACAGCAACATTATTCATCAAAGCAGGGATTACAGGAGAGGAGGAAAGAAAGGACCACCTTCGGCCACTGTGCGTTGAACTCCTGGGATGCCTTGTGTGTAGTTAGACATTTACGGGAGCCCGGAGCTCAGATGAGAAGTCTTGACTAAAGATATTTAATCGGAGCTCAGCAGCTTATAAATGAGAAAGCCACAGAATGTGAGTGGAGTGTGAGAAGAGGAAAGGACAAAATCATAGCTCTGACCAGCATCAAAATCATGGAGATGGAGGAAGAGTAACAGTAGAGGAAAGTGAGCCAGTGTGGTCAATGGTAGAAGAATTTGGAGAGAGAGCATTGTCTTAGAGAGCTGGGGAGAAGAGGGCTTTCAGAAGGAATGATACTCTAGAAGACCAAATGTAACCGAGAAGTCAACAAGGTGGGAAATTTTTTAAATCCACTGGACTTGGCAACTGGGATCTCAGTGACTTGTGCCAGCGAGGGTGAGAGGACCATACTTCAGTGGTTTTCAGTGCTAATACAAGGCAAGGGGTGAAGGGGTGAAGGTAACTCTGACCTGCTCTGAGGGAAGTTTGCAAGCCATCTGTTGGTCTTTGCAGAGAAAGCAGTATAAAGTCAGAGTTATATTCTGGTATGCAATGGCTCCTTTCATTAGGAAATCAGTACTCGCCACTGCAAAGGTCCTAGAATTAAGGGACACTTTTCTGAGGGAGAGGAACCCAACCCGCCGTGATCTGCCATGTACTTGTAAGTTCACACAGGAGGGAGATGTGTGTTCTCATCTCCATTCCATGCATTTCTGGTCTAGCTGGGAGAAATGGATTAGATACAGACTTTAATAGGAAGCACAAGACATCACTGGCTTTCACTGCCTCCCATTTCTTCTCTGAAAAAGATTGTTCTTTATTTTTCAGAAAGGTTGGCACAATGTCTCTTGATGCCGCACAAGTGAGAAATCAAAGTAGTACAGGCTGGAGCACGACATCACTTCTCCCTAGACCTCAGTGGCTGTGTCCTGAGGGCCCTCCCACCTCAGCATGCTATTTAAACATTCAATACAATAAGTCCAAAATACCCGGGGTGCATCTTAGAAGCAGTAAATTTTCCAAATGCTCCATTATGAACTTTTAAGCACTTTTAAACCAGACTAGGATGAGCTTGGATTTGGCCCTGTAGGTCTCAGGATGTCATGGCTCAATTTCAGACCTTCCAACTTCATCTGAAGATACACTGCACATTTAAATACTAGATACAATGAAATACTAGATAGAAGAGTCACAGACAATTCCGAAAGATCTAATGAGCAATGCAATTTGTGAGGTAAAGTGAAAAGATTCTAGTGATTATTTGTTTACAAAACACTAGAAAAGTTATGATTGTAGTAAACTTAGCACAGAGAAAGCAGCTTTAATTTGGTCTCTCAGATCCATCCATAGCAGGATGGAATGGGATTTAAGGTACTAGGAAGGGTTACAAAGTAGCCCCACACTTTGCAGTAAGCCACTGTCATTGAGGTAGAGGAAGAGCAGGGACCACGGTAGAGTGGAGCCTGGGACAGCCCACTGAGGCTGCAAGCTGTGGGGAGGACCCATACCTGTCAGCATGCCTTCATCTACCACACAGCTGCCATCGATCAGGATGGCATCACACGGCATTTGCACTTTGTTCCCTGTCAAAATTAACAAATCTCCAGGCACCAAGAAGCGTGACTCCAGCTGTCGGACTCCAGCTAAAAATGTGAAGATACAGAGTTGAGTCAGGTGATTGCCCCCCCCCCGCCGCCCAAAAGCACACTCTAACATCTATCTAAGTTGGGTATCAAGAGACAGCAGCCAAGGCATCTAAAAAAGGAAGCTGTCCCTCAACACTGACTCAAAATCTGAAGATGAGAAGAAAAAAGTGAGAAATGACACAAATTGAAAACTTGTGTGTGGCAACAAAAGAAGCTAAGAAAAAACTGACAAACGCAGAAAACTTACAGACAAAAGATTCATATTCCTAACATAGAAAGATGCCTTAACAAAGAGACGAGGAGCAATTACCTAATAACAAATTGCTAGATATTAACATTCACACACATAGACACAGACCTGAGTGGTCTGTAAATGTCTGAAAAGCTGCTCATTTTTACCCCAATAATAAGAGAAAGGACATTTCTTCCATCCTTCCTTTTTTCTTTCCTTCTTGATTTCTGCCTGGTTGCAGTTACATTTTTCCTTCCTTGTTCAGTCCCAAAACTACTAGGGGGCTGAGCAGGAGAGGCATCCACACAGAGGGCAGTGGGGACAAGGGCGCAGGCTGCACAGGGTGTGCAGGCCTGAGGAGGAGGGGAGGCTTTTCTGTGGCCTTGGCTTTGACACAGCAGAGCCAGCAGGGGGAGAAGGCCCTTATAGTGGCTGTGGCCTGCTGTGAGATTGTTGGCTTTTGATGCTGTGAAAAATGTGTCTACATGGGAGTGAAGTGGGGAGCAGCGTGAGCATCAGTCACACTAGAAGTCTGGTCTTTTCTGAGCAGGACTTACAGTAAGGAGCTCTATTGAAGTTAATGAGAACGAGGTTTCTCACTGAAGCAAGGAAGCTACAAAGACAGAAAACAGACTAAACTAGAATTGTGGCTTCAAATCGGGGATACTAGTGTACTAGACAGTGGTAAGATAGATGTCAATATGCAAGGATATAAGAATATATATATATACAGAGATAAACATACAAATGTTTGCTGGTCTGTTTGTTCATAGGAATATTCTCCAATTCTTCTTTCAGAGAGGGCAGAAAAGCAGTGCAACACCAAGATTAATGAGCACCCCTGGTGGCCAAATTTTGGCTTCTAAATGCCATTCCCCGCCTCAAAAAAAGAATGAAGTTTCTTTGGGGAAGTGACTGGCTATGACTGGCTATGAGGCTGAGCCATAAAGAGTATAATAGAAGCTAGGAAATCTTATTGTAAGATTAGGTCAGGATGGGGCCGGGGATTTAGCTCAGTGGTTTCGTCACCTGCTGCACAAGCGCAAGGATCCGAGTTTGATCCCTGGTACCAAAAAAAAAAAAGATTAGGTCAGAAAATGTTCAAAGAACAATGGTGACATATTAAAAGGATGTCAAAGCCAATTTAAAAGGCCCTTGCTGCCTAAACCTGTAACAATGTCAACATCAAAGTAAATAATGATAAAAAGAACAATAGCCATGAAGTGAAATAGAAATTCATAAATCCCCAATGGCATAAGTAAATGGATAAATAAGTAAGAAGAAAAGGTAGCTATTCCTTACAGCTAAATGGTAATTAAAAATTAAGAAGATAAAATTCGAAAATCATTATTTGACAAGTATTAAAGTAATGATTTAGTTAAGAAACATCAATGTATACTGAAACTAGTAGATGAAAGTGATGAAGATGGTCTAGTATATGATCTCTCTTAACAAAATAACTGTTAATTACATAGGGGAAGAGAGCAAAATTTACAAAGGAGAAACCTTGCAGACCCAATCTAATTAAGAAATTAACAAGTTAACATCCCCAGTAATAGAACAAATGTACATTATGTGGCATCCAAGAGAAACAGTGAAAATATGACATCACGATATCATGTCTGTGTGTAATGTGAACTTAACTATGAGGAAAAATCAAACAAATCAAAATTGAGAAACATTCTACAAAAATAACTGGTTCAAAAGAGTCAAGGTCATGCACATCAAAAAAAGATTGAAAAACTACTAAAGAAACGTGGAAAACAGTCACATTGAGGGCCAGGGATTTAGCTCAGTGGCACCATGCCTGCCTGCAAGCAAAAGGTCCTGAGTTCGATCCCCAGTTCTCCAAAAAAGAAAAAGAAAACAACCACATTGACTGATCCTGGATCCCTTTCCTGCAAAGAGCATTATGAGATACAGGTAGGATGTGACTATTGTTTAGGGCTAACATGTCAATATTAACTTCTTGGTCACCCTGTCGCTTACATACGAGAATATCTTAATCCTTAAGAAATACACACTAATACACAGGTGTCTGTCATCGAGACACCTGTCAGAAATTTATTCTTAAACAGTGCTGGAAAAAAGTTATTTGAACCATTCTTGCAACTTTGCTTTAACTTACAAATTATTTCCTAAAACAGAGGAGAAACATATATGAGGTAATATGGCTCACCTGATTAGAAAATCTGTTTGCCAGCCTATTCAGTTGGCAAGGCTGTGAAGAAACTGACACACATTTCTAGTGCAAATGCAAACTGGTATAATCTCTCTGGAAAGGAATTTGGCAATATTTATCTAGCAAAAGAACAGATGCATTTATTCTTTAACCTTGCAGTTTTGCTTCTCAAATATCTATACCAAAGATATACTGGCAAAACATGATAGACATATGCACAAGGCTTTTTTTACAGCACTACTTGTAAAAGATTGACAAAAATTTCATCAAAAGAGGAAAAATTGAATAAAGGATGGTTCCTTCACCTAAGAGAGTACTATGCAGCTGAAATAATGAATGAAGATTAGCTATACACAGCTATTGAAGGGCCGCTGAAAATATTTTTAACTATGTAAATTATATACAATGGAAAATATTATTAAATATGATTAAATAAATTGTGATTAAATATGATTTGTATACTGCTTCAACTACAGTATAAATATATAATATATAGCTATTATTTTCATATGTAATTTGTTTATATCTCTGTAAAATTATTTAGTTTATTAGTCCTTGTTTTTAACACATAATGTTCACATTCCTTATGTGGAGTAGATACATGTGCATAACACATCTTAATCCCTTTTTTGTGTCCTTTCCCTCCCTTCTCCATTCATCTTTTGATCCTCTTACCATTTGAGAAATATCTATCTCCCTACTTTCTATTATCTATGTTTTATTTTGCTCTTTATTTATATTTCGGGTTTCTCATATAAGAGAAGCCATGTGATACTTAAGCTCGTGTGTCTGATTTAATTCCCTTAACGTTATGATCTCAAGGTGCAGCCACTTTGCTACAAATGACTGAAGTTTATTTTTAAATGTAAGAACACATCAATAATAATGTGAAGAGATAATTAGAGATATAGAGAGAAGTAGGATACAAGACAGAAAAAGAGGGAGAGGAGCTAGATTCCCCAAATATCTTCTTTCTTGTGGATTTGATTTTCATACCATGAAGATATTTACCGTACTAGCTATATAAATGATACAAAAATAAATTTGAAAGGCTAACATTAAAACCTAAAGCAAAATGGGCTGGGGATTTAGCTCAGTGGTTTCGCCGCCTGCTGCACAAGCGCAAGGACCCGAGTTCGATCCCCGGTATCAAAAAGAAAAAAAAAATCTAAAGCAAAATGAGTGAAATGAGCCTACCAAGTTGTTGGCGTAACCATATAGAGAACTATTTTGAGTGACTTTAAAGCATAATTTTGTAATAATTTGTACATTTCTAATGAAATATCATAAATGGGGGGAAGAACTCTAAAAACATCTGAAGTGTTTTAGGAATCATACTGACTCCTGAGTGTGTTAGTTTGTTATTCTGAGATTATTGCCTATAGTGAGATAAAACAAATGATAAGTTTGTTCCTGTCATTGGAATTGAAATTTTTAGGAGAGAGAAAGGAACACAGAGATGCAATCAGCAAAGTTACATTAAAAGTCTACAGTTCTAAGTTTGCACTAAAAATATCATTATGCATAATGCATTCTATCAGTGTGCCTTCTGAAAAAGCCTAGAAGCAGTCGTGACCACCATAAAAACTTGCGCTCCAAATGCTCAGATTAAAGTTTCTAAGTATCCTATTTACAGGTGTTTCAGAAAAAGGAATTGTCTAGCTTTGGGGCATGAATTATTCAAATAGATAAACTAAATAAAACTCAGTAGCAACTAGGGTCATGTCTAAAGAACTCTGGAGCTAGCTAACCAGAAGAGGCTCTTCCCAACAAAAGATGAGACAGTTGTGAAAAGCAGGAGTAAAAATGGTGATGGACGATAAATATTAACCATGTCCAACACTGAGACACTAAAAAAGCCTTTGGAAGATGTTAATCAGCTTATTATTTTGAAAGATGATAAAGAGAAAAAAATCAGATATCTATCTTTTCTTTCTTAAACTGAATAGTTGAGGAGTGTTTTTCTTATAGAAATATTTCACATAATATGTGAAAATGGCATGAGAGAAGTAGAAAACCACAGGACAAACCACTTGTTTTCTTCAACAAAAAAAATGGCAAGGAGAAAAAATAAGAGACAGAAGAGGGAATTTGTAGATTGAAATAAACTTGAGACATGATCATTCACAAGATATGGAAATCCTAATTTGAAATTAAAATGTATCTACTTTCCCATTCTTCCAATTGTTTCATTGTGCACACAATAAGTATATGTATCATACGTATGAATATAAGCACATACTTTGATTCAGTTGAGGAAATCTGACATTGCACATATAATTGATGCATTTTTTAATTATGGGTTTCTTAAAGATATGATAAATGAATTTAAAAGAAGTCTTTATATTTGAGAGCTATGTACCTAGTTTTCAAATAAAATGATATCTTGGGTTGTTCTAAAATAATCCAGAGTAACAGAACTAATAAAACAGATTTAAAAATATAAAGAGACAATGAGTTGATCATTATTGAATCTGGGTGATGGAGTTTCATTATGAGATTCTCTCTATTTTTGTGTATGTTCAAAATATTTTATCATAAATAATAAGGAAAGTAAAAGATCAGGATACTTTCAACAACAAATTTGCCTCAAATAAAAATGGAATAAAAAGTGTCACATTTATCTTCCCACCTGAAACAATCAAAAATCCTACAAAATATATTCAAAAAATGATTTTTAAACAATGAACATCAAGCAACAAGTGAAAGTGCTCTGCATTGGCTCAGTTTGCTGTCCATGAAGAGTTTTGGCCCAAAGCCCAGAGGGCTCCCAGGGGAGCAGAATGCAGATGACACGGCGTGGGAGGGGGGTGGGAGCTGGAGCTTCCAGAGCAGAGCATGGGACAGAGAGTGACCCACAGAGAGCCACAGAGGCGTCCAGACTCCATTCCTGTGCATCTGCAGACTACAAACCAGAACCTGAACATGAGGGAACTACGAGAAAATGAACAAATGAGTATTTGCACTTAAAAAGATCACAATAACATAAAAACCATGAGATAGTTAAGAATCAATCTGAGAAATAATGTGTAAGACTCATCATACAGTGATAACTGCAAGACACTGCCAAGAGAAATAAATCGAGAGATGTATATATACCATATTATACCACAAAAGATCCAACTGTGTTAGTATGTTAATTTTCCACAAATTGATCTATAGATTCAACACAAACCCAACCACAATGTCATTTTTTTTTTTAGAAATAGATAAGTTGATCCTAAAAGTCATATAAAAATTATATGGGTCCCAATAATGTACCTCAAAATAATTTTTAAAAAGAACAAGGCTAGATGCCAAATATTTCAAAACTTATTAGAAAATGACTTTATGTGGCATTGGTGTTAAGAGAAGAAAATAGACCATTAGAACAGAATAGGTATCTAGAACTAAATCTACCTATATGCAGACAAATGATTATTCACAAAGGTAGAAAGACATTTTACTAGAGAAAAGGTAAATTTTCATTAAATAGTGTTAGTATTTAGATACCAGTTAGCAAACAATGAACTTCAACAAAAAAATTCAGAATATAATATAAAATTAATGTAAAACATAAAAATTACAATACTCTATAAGAAAATATAGAAAATATAGATGACATTGGATTAGACAAAAATGTCTTAGATCAAAAGTATGATCCACAAAAGAAAAAACTGATAACCTGGACTTTACTAAAAGTGAAAACATCTGTCCTTTGAAAGGTGTTGTATATACAATGACATGATGTCACAGACTGAGAGCAAATATTTGCCAATCATATATCTCATGAAGGACTTGTAGCCAGAACTCAATTTTGATAATAAGAAAGCAATGGAATAAACAAAAGATTTGAATAGATGTTTCATCAAAACAATGATAGATAAGTGTCAAATAAACAAATGAAGAGATATTCAGGTCTTTAGTCATTAAGGAAATGCAAATTAAAACAATAATGAGATACTTCCATATGAAAGTGGCTTAAATTTAAAAGACTGACCTACTAAAGATTCACAAGAATGTGAAACAACTGAAATTCTCATACACAGCTGGTGGGAATGTAACTTGATACAACCCCTTTGGAAAACAGTTTGGCAGCTCTGGAAGTGTTAAACATCTTAAGGGTTAAACATACCCACCCATTTTTCAGGTGAGTACTTTCTCAAAAAATATGCATGGCTATAGAAAGACCTATACTTGAATGTATGTAGCAGCATTATTTGTAATAGACAAAATCTAGAAACAACCCAAATATCTGTCAAGAGGTGAATGGATGAACAAACTGGTATACCCATACATCAGGATACTCTCAGGAATAAAAAGGAATGAACTCTTGATACATTTAACAAAATGAATGAATCTCAAAACCATTCCAACTTTGATGGCCCCAAAATTAACCCAAAATAGTCAAAATAAAGACAAAAATACAGAGTGTGAAGTACCATTTTTATACAATTGTAAACACAGGAGTTCATCTACAGTCTATGGATTATGAACAGAAAGCAAATGACTGTCTGGGTATGGGGAGGGGAAAGGAGTAGGAAAAGATTGCAGACAGGCACCAAGCAATTTAGGGGGACAATAGATGGTTATTATCTTGATGGTGGTGAGGATTTTATGAGTGCATGTCAAAGCAATGTCAAATTGTACACTATAAATGTGTCTAGTTTTTTATATATTAATTCCACCTCAGTAAAGTAAGGGGGTTTTTTTTCCCTTAAAGTGAAAAGATCTCAAGTTCTTCTTCCCTATAAACAAATGTACAAGAAAAATGCAAATGAAGATAGGAGTAGAAGGAGCAACCAGAAATCAGAAATACAAATTCAAGTCATTTTCTGATTTTATATGGATAAAACACAGATCTAAAATAATGGAACTTACATTTTCTCTCACATACAGAGACTGTAATGCTATTATGTGCTTCAACTAGACGGTGGAGTTTTACAGATTGCTGAAAAAGAAAGGAACACAGAAAATGTTTATTTGTTTGAGTATAGTCCCAGGAATTATCCAGTAAGGTGTTAGCCTTCTGTGAAGATGAATGTACTGGCGAAAAACAAAGACTGAATAGTCTAGTATGCAACTGAAAAGGCTTTTTCCTCAGCATTAACAAGTATGTACTCTTTAGCAGAAAGGTATTTCCCAGCATGCTCTTTCCACTCAAAATGAAAACCGCAAATCTGGGTGCAGTTCTTTAGGTAGATAACATCAAGAACATTTAATATGTGTTTATACCTGAATGGCTTGATTAACAAAGCATTATTTCTCTTTGGGCTCTTCCATATCAAAGTTCCCAATCTATAACTTTTTAAGGAGTTTAGTGGTTCTCATTATATCCTTGTAGCACTTTTTGTTCTAATATATAAAATACATGGGTCACTGAGAGTGAGTTAATAAGAGAAGACAAAAGAAATATATAATAAAACTGTATTTGATTTCACATTAATGGAGGAAAATATTGTGTGAGGAACCTCCTAGCAGGTTCTGAGGAGTTAAAATTCTCATTTAATGTGTTCATATTTTTACTTCTGATTTTTGTCATTTAAGACATTCTCTAAATCTCCTGGTTTCAGATTATTTACAAATCTAATAAATATGTCACAAGAATGATGAACAGAACAGGTTGTGAACTGACTGCCAGACAGGAGATACAGTAATGTTAACTTGAAGCACAGCAGCGGTAGGATGAGAAAAAAGTAAATGATACCAAGATATATTTAGGGAGAACAACCTTTAGAACTTGTTGCGTGACTGTGAAAGAAGGAAAAGAAAATTTCAAGGGTGACAATCTGATTTCCAGTTTAAACCAACGAAATGACCAGTGGTGTATTTTTACCAAATCAGGTACACCAAAAGAGAGATCTAAGGAGGAATTCTTAAGGTCTGTGTTGAATGTGTTGAATTTAAGGTAATTTGGGGACTCAAAGGTAGGTGATATCAAATAGGTTGTTAGATTTATGAGTCTGGATCTCACAAGTGGTTATACATGAAATTAATTATATGTAAAATTAATTACATCTGTATATGCCTCTATTATTTTGCACTCACTTAGAATTTATTCTAAAATCATGATAATGGCATCAACAGTCTCAGCTGAAAAGTTATAACATACTTTTTACATCAATTACACAGGTTTGCAAAGAAGTCAATTTTAAATATTCAATGTGCATATATATAATCTGTGGTTCTCTCTAAGGTTCAAGTGGTGCAACTGACACATTTGGAGTAGGTTTCTTTGTGGCCCTATGAATTCAGGGTCCCTACGAATTGCTAATTAAAACAGATTTTTTTTTTAACTTTTAAAACAATAGGCTTTAGGGTTGTCGCGATAACTTTAACAGGAGTTGTATAAATGGAGTCATGAGAGAAGAAATCAGGTCAGCAAATGAAAAGGGAGAGGAAAATAAAGAACAATGCGAGTGGACATAAAGATGCAAGAACTTGTACAGCAGAAGGAAGAAGAGAGCTACTGTAACAGCTGAAGGAAGAGATGTGTCAAGGAAAGGACTGCCTTGTTGAACTTTGTAAGTTGGAAAATGGTTGAGAATGGTAACCCTTGTCAGATAGTCTCTTAGGAAGAGAGAGAAAGAAGTCATTAGCGGATTGCTAATGACCCCAGGAAGACAGGAGAGGATGGTGTGTCAGGCATAGACAAAGAGACCTCCTCCACTGCAATGAGAAGACAGGCCTGGCACCGGCTGGAGAGTTGGGTCATTTGGCAATTGGAGAGTGGGAGGTGAACAAACCACTGTCTTACGGCTTATACCATTTTTATGAAATAAATGGTTAAATTATGTGCTAAATTGGAGGAAAGTAGAATACAGAAAGATGGGCTTCTCAGAAACCAGAAGAAAGGCGTTATTTGAAATCTTAATCTCAGGGAATGGGCAAGCACTTTGATCAGAGATGTATAATACGCTTCCCAAGCAAAGTTGGCTCTCAGAGATTCCATCACCCAATTTGTTCCGTGTGATTTTCTTCCAATTAGAAAGTCAAGAGTTGAATTGGAGATTTGACCAGTGAGTATCAAACAAACACAAAAGCCAAAGGAGTGCATACTAAACAGATTCCTCCACCTTCCACCAGGGACAAAAGTACCCTAAAAGACTAGGCTTTGGGATGTGAGGGAAGGGAAAAGACTAGCTTGTTGAGCATTGACTATTGTGTTAGATAATTACAAACATGGTTTTATTTATCATGTACTGGACAATGACAAGATCATAATTCTCCTTTCTAAGAAAATTTCAGTGAAGTCACTAATAATCTCTTTCTGAGACCACAAGATTAGTGAGGGAACTCACCTGTCTGAGGTCATACACTGTCAAAGATATGGAAATGATGGACATGAGTATGATGGCAAGAGCATATTCCTTGTAGTCTTCACTAAACCATAAACAGACACTGAAGAGTTGAAATATGTAAAAGGGATTTAGAACCTGTTGGCAGACACAAAGAAGATAGATGGGAAATATTTAGGCTTCACACATAACTATTCATTGACTTGTTTCCATAACCATTTCTATGTGGTAAATCATCCCACCCAAAATGCTATTCTTTGTTTATTCAGCAATTGCCATGTACCAGACACTACACTAAGCAACTTTACCTGAATTTGCTCATTTCATTCCCATAATTACCTCAGCAACCAGAATTTATTATTTATCTCCATTGTAAAAATGAAGAAATTGAGCCTTAGATCTTGAGAAACTGGCCTGAGGTCATACACCCGTAACTGTCACAGATCCAAGGCTTAAAAACCAGGCAATCTGACCCCTAGGGGCGCTGCTTTTAACCACTATTGCCCCTTACAATTTACACACTAGCATCTGTGTTTCAACAGGTTGACCACCATATCATGTAAGAGCTGATATTATCTCCCATTTACAATACTGGACTTCAGAAAGGTGAAGTGTTAAGTTCACATTTACAAATTTAAAACACTTTCTAGTCTATTACTTTTCCCTAGGATGAAAGAGCTGCCATATGTGAAGTCAGTGGAAAACTTTATATTAATGGATGAGTTGACATTTTCCCACAGAGAACTGAGATGAAAGCAGTAAGTGGCAACTGAGCATCTAGAACAATGTAGGAGAGGAGAGCGTTGACTCCAACAACTACACTCCTGGTGCAATTGTTGAGTCAACATTGTGGTGAGAAACATTGTGTGCCCTCACTCAAATTCCCCCTGTTAAAACAGGAATGGTTATTCTTGCTTCTGGTTAGGAAAAAACTTAGTGGAAACTTTTCCTATCAGTGATTTGCTTTTTTTCACCCTTGAAAGCTTTCTGGAAATGTTGAGAAAGTACCTTGAATGTAATAAGCTGTTTTATTTTTCAAGGCAAGGAGGTATGGAGGTGGTAAACAGGGCACTGCCTTATGGATATGGTCTGAAAAATAAGTCCAGTGTGACAGTCTAGCAGCAAAAGTTTAATTTAGTAAATAATGATCAAGTCTTTCTCACACATACATTGAGATCAGTAGAACTTTATAAGGCTGAACAGATGGTACTTTTCTCCCTATAATTTTGCATGTTGAGGAAATTGCATATGTTGCCTTAAAAATTTGGCTTTCTAAATAAAGAGAGGGAGGAAAAAAGAAAGGAAAAGAAATTACTGTATTAGTTTCAAAGTTGGAACAGGCTAAGCACCATAGTATTAAAGAACAAGAAAAGAAATACTGTGTCCATCCAATCATCAAATAAAAAGTACACACATTAGCATTATACCCTGTATTATATCCAGCAGTGTACAAGAGAGAAACTTGAAGAAAAAGAGTAGATGAGAAATAGGAAGAATACTATATCAAGCATTCTTTTAAAATACCTTCCATTTATAGTTACTTATTAACAAGTTGCATTACTGATTGTTTGGTTAGAGCTAAACATCTTCATTTTCCATCCAACCCCAAGAGAAGATACTGGAGAAATTACCTCCTTGCTGAGCAGCTTCCAAATAGGTGTGATTTCAACATCAATAGTATTAGGCCCACATATTAGCCTCCTGCCAAGAGAGATCACAGTCACTAACAATGAAAATGAACTCATTTTCTGCCCATTCAGAAAAAGGTCTGCCCCATGTTCCCCCCTCCTTCTTCTAGATAAATCTCCTTGGTTACACGACATTCCTATCCTTCTCAAAGCAACTGGGCTCTTTTGTTAGTTAACACCTCCCTGGGTCTAAACATTTTCCTAAATGATAATTTGGATATTTAATGTTACCCTTTTCTCATTCAATAATTAGGATTGATATATTTTAAACGCTGTCCCAACTCCGGTTCCATGGAAATGAACCAGGGAAGTCATTAAAAGGGAATAGTTTTACTGATACACAAATACTGTACCTATTTCCTTCCCCTTCTCAGAAGTTCTAGGAGGCTGTATAATGTGTTCTAATGTTAGTGGACAGGTCCTGAGCTCTCTGAAATAGGTCAATCTGCAGAATCACACATCCCTCTAATTGAAGACCCAGAGATGTGCTCCTTTGATCATGCGGAGGAATTGCACTGCATGGGTTATTTTGCTGTCTAGAACACAAACCACTCTCTCTCTGTGCCTTTCACATAGACACCCAGATCAAATAGCTTTGCTGAATGTGCTAGAGAAGGGCTCCTCAAACTTTCATTTAAACTGGATGGCCTCATTAAGATGAAGATTCTGACTGGGTAGGATCAAATCCTGCAGGTCTAAGATCCTTTTTTTCTTTCTAACAAGCTGCCCAAGATGCTGATGCTGTTTGACCCTAGGTCTCTCTGAAGTGCTAGAGATGGGTTGGCACAGGTGCATGAAATTTAAATCCAGCAAGGCCTTTTCAGAGTCCTTCTCCTTTTTTTAAACTGGAAAACTAAGGCCCAGGGCAAAGAAGATAGTTACTGAAAACCACACGGACTCTTGATATTCCCAGGCCCTCCCTGAACCTTTCCCACTACCTAGTTATTGATCTGGAACTGTGGAGCAACTCACATCTTGCATAGCATTGTTCCGATGTCTGTGTATTTCCTGATCATAATCAAAACAGGTTTGGGCCTATTATTACAATAACTTTTAGAGGCATTGTGTAAAGGAAGAACACTAAACCTACAGCCCTAAGTTGGGGACTCAGTTCTTCCTCTATCTCTTTCTGTATGACCTTGTTCAGGCCATTAAACCTCTTGGACCCTCATATTTTCAACCTGTTATGTCGAGACAGTCATGATGTCTTTTCTATCTCTCCCATGAGGTGGCTCTGAAAGGTGTGAGATAATGGATGTGACTGGATTTAATTTAATAATGCCAACTAGAACATTGCAACACTTTTTGATATCAATCAACTAAGGTAACTACTCACTGGGCTCTATATTTGGCAGATAACAGTCCTTTTGAGCTAATATAGACAACAATATGCATGATACCTAATCTCTTGTTCTTCTCTTGTTAGGCCTGATCCAAATTTTAGGTGTATCTTGGCAGAACTGAGCCAGTCTTCCAGAGAGCTAAAATAATAATGAGAGGGATGCATTTAGCAATAATATTTTTGAGCTAACATTTTTCTTCTTTAGATGCACTTTCTAAAACAACTTACCCAATTTTTTGGAACTGTCCTTCTAAATTATTCCAAACATATCTTATTTTCTGCACTTTTATGCATCTCACCTGGAAAAGAAAAGTACTAAGAAAATCTCTAGTTTGAAGATTGGAGATCATACAGCAACTGAGTGGTCAAAGAAGCATTTGTGAGAGAAGTAAAGATAGAAGCCTAAATACTTATTTAAGAATTATCTTTTCCTTCCTTATCCTATTCTTTCCTACTACACAAATGGCAACCTTACTAGAAATCATCATTCAGTCAACATATATCATGGACTTATTACATAGATAAATATATGAATAAATGAAATTTAGCCTCTGTATTCCACTATCTTATAACCTAATAAAGAAAGAATAAATTTCAAAAAAGAACACTATGTCATACAGCCCAATATGTATATGTTAAACAAATAAAAACATAATAAAGTAAAAAGACATACTAATAAAATGCCGTAGAAATAAAGGGAGGACAGATGACAAAAGGAACTACAGAAAAGACCATATTTGAAACTGCAGCAGTTAAAGGTTGGAAGAATTTGCTCAGATATGGAGGGAAGAGATTATTTCAAAGAAGTTCTGTACAAGTTAGTGGAGAGAGAGGAAGCAAGAGAGTAGGTATTTTGGCTGCAGAGTGAATAAGTAAGCTGGAAATATAAACGAAGTCTAGATTATGAGTAGACATAAATGCTAGAATAAGGCCTTTGGGATCTTATCTCACAGACAATATGCTTGTGTAGAAACCTACAGAAGAAACACTGGAAAGCATTAGGCTGGCAGCCGATACTAAGGAAGAGAGAGGAGTTTATATGCAAGAAAATGTGCTCCAGGAAGTGAGGCTCTGAAAGTGTTGTCAGTGGAAAGAAAAGAGAGGCTTAATGAGCATGACAGTTGTGCCTTCTTCCTTCTGATTTCTTTAAGCAACCTTATGTGTGAATCTGAATTTCCATGAACTGGGGACCTCACAAAGCACTGAGAGAAACACTGAGTCTTTCAGATGGCAGTGGAGCAATGGTTAGAGCCTCAGGTTCTTCATTAGGGAAATCTGAGGAGCTTTAAAAGACACAGGTGCCTGGATGCCAGCACCAAGAGATTCTAATTTAATTTGTCTGCAGTGCATCCTGGGCATCAATATCATGACATTTCCCTACATAATTTTAATGATGGCAAAAGCTGAGGAACTGTGTAAAAGGTTTCCTGCTATAGCTACTCTACTACTTGGGTCCTTGAGAACTTCTACTAAATATGCCTGCACCTCAGTTGACCCATGAAAACATTGAATAATTGGCCAGATGGTGGCTAAGTTCTACTTTTTCTCCTTTCTATGTTATATACTTATAACATATTATAATACTATAGTCAATATAACTATGAGATAAATTCTAAAACTGCAAAGAGTATATAGCTGGTACATAACAAGTGTTCAGTACATTTTTTATTTAATAAATGAATGAATGCTTTGTAAAACCACATGTTGGCTAGGAACATACTTCAAATCATACTTCAAGTCACAAAACCTAGAATTGAAATCCTACTCAACAAATATGTCAAATTTCTGCATGCACACACACACACACACACACACACATACACGCACACACACACATTTAATAGTTACCAGGTAAGAATATTAAGTGCTGTATTTTTTTTGTTTTGCTTTATTTGTGTTTTGGGGGGTTTTTGTACCAGGGATCAAACTCAGGACCTTGTGCTTGAGAGGCAGGTGGCGGCACCACTGAGCTAAATCTCCAACCCTTAAGAGTTGTATTTTTTAATTCTAGAGAATGGGTTTATTTCAATGAGATTGGTTGCAAAATAAATTATTTAAGAACATATCCTATTTCCAGGTGATTTTCAGTATGAAATTGCCAGTCACTGGTAATGACACTTCCTTTGTAAGCTGTGAATTTGAGGCAGGAAAGAGCATTTGAAAGTGACCAGCCCTGGAGCATGTTAGTCATCATGGCCCCCGTTGTAACGTCAAGTTTCTTGCCTTACAACTTAATTTTCTTTTCCATATTCCTTGCAGTTTTGCAAATAATGCCACTACTCACAGCTACTATTTGCTGAGTATTTTAGAGCTGATTGCTCATGATCATTAGTCTTTTCCATCCTCCCATGGTAGGGCAGATACTTCCATCTTCACTTTGCACCTGACATTCATTTTGATCGCATCTCTCACAAGGCTGGAATTTTAGTTCCACCCCATTCTCTCCAAGAATGTAAGACTCAAGGTAGTCTCAAAAGAAAATCTGAAAAATCTCTTAAGTTCAGGATTCAAGATGTATAAAGTGAGCCTTGCCTACTTTCTGAATTCTATAAATTTGAAAATCTATGTTAGAAAAAATTTAAAGGAAAAATTATGGTAGAACACATGTGAGGCTCCCTGCTTCAGCTAGAAAGCCTACATCAAGAGGCTGTGAAACCACAAGCAAACTGGGAAATTCATAAAACATAACAGACACAAAACATCCACAGATGAAGGCATTATCAATGAAGAATATGGTCTTATAAATTAGGAATACTGATAAGTTTTACTTCTGGCCAGAAAATAGAAGGTTCCATTCTCTTCTGATGATTTCTGAGGCTATTCCTCCGAAATTCTCCACTGTAGACCTTTTAATCATCTTTGAGATTCTTTCAGCAGGAAACATCTCTGCCTGGAGTTTATCTACTTCCCACATCACCATCAGAGCCTCTACAAATGTCAAGCACAATATTTGCAAGGAATGGAGTTTATTTGCCCATTTCCTGGAACTTCAGGCCAGGAAGTAATAACTAGGAAATCAAGTATCTGCTGGGGGGTCTGGGGGTTGACCTTTCAGCTCAGTAGTCAGGAAGACTTCTTTTTTCCTGGGCTTGTTGGTCTTCGTTTCTTGTTTGGAGCTGCAAGAGCATCCTGCTATCCGGTGCAGCACTGGGTTTCAGTTGTGCAAGCCATTCTACAAAATGGTCCTTAGAGCCCCCTCTTAGCCTACATTTGAAAAGCCAACAAAATTCTTGATTTCAGTCTCCAAATTCCCATAAAAGGCCCCAAACGGTTATCATCCTGGGATTCTTGATATTATTATTCCCATCAGTGTCACCATGGCTGAGGCTATGGTTTGTCCTCTAGTCGTAATGCAAGTATCAAACCTTAGTATGAATGTAGCTCACTGCAATTCACAAATCACCTTAATATCACATTTTAGGGTCACAACAATCCTAAAACACAACAGAGAAGGGTTTTGTGATAAGGAGCTCAAGACTCCGGAAGACAGTGAGCAGCCTAACTCCCTGGTAAATGAAGGCGCTGAGACTGGGCATCAACACTTTCCATTTCAATTCCTCCCTCACATTCTTTCTGTTTTACTTTTATCAGTACATGTTCGCAGTACATAATGATTAGGTCCGTGCCAGGGAGTTAGTACATGTATATAATACATCTTAAGTCTTCTTTTCATCCCTTCCTTCTCCCCCTCCCTCCACATCCCTTTTGAAGATCTATCTCCTTGTATCCTATTGTCTATCTTTTATTTTGCCCTTTAATTTATTTATACTTTGGGTTTCTCACATGAGAGAAACCATGTGATATTTAAATTTATATATCTGATTTATTTCCCTCAACATTATTATCTCAAGGTATATCTATTTTCCTACAAATGACTCAAGTTTACCCTTCTCTATGGCAGAGTAGTACTCCATTGTGTATAAATACCACATTACCTTTATCTATTCCTCTGTTAATGGACATATAGGCTGCTTCCAAGATTTAGCTATTATGAATTATGCTGCTATATACTTTCTGCTTATTTGTTAATTTGAAAATTTCTTCATTTGTCTTTGTAATTACTTATCTGAAACAATTAAATATGCTGGAATTTTAGGGCAATAAAACTCTGAGGCCATGTCTGTAAAGCTAATTTGTTAAACCAATTTATCTAGGTGAATGAACCTAGCAGAAGAAGCAGGCTGCTCCTTGGAGGAGCTTGACCTCTTTTGTCTTGTCATCTTTTGGCAGCAATGACAACTGGGTGATAGCAACTGACAATGGAGACTGTTCAGGAACTGATTTTCATTCTTTAGAAATCATGACCTTGAGCTCATAAAACTAAACAGCTGTCTACACCTGTAAAAGTAAAAGAAAATATTCTCTCTTGTAAAATGTGTTTTTAATATGAATGTTAGCAGTCACAATCCAAGTGCTACTAATTTAATGTGTCAAAAAGAGAGTAACCCACATGAATTTGAATGGCAAAATTGGAAATAAAGTGATTTTGTAGACACAGGAAAATTCCATGGGACTGTTCCGAGTGATAACTTTACTATAGGATTAACTCTGCTATACATACCAAGAATGATGCGATTAAGAACTAACAGGTATTGGGTACCTATTGCATTGGTTTTTGCGTTCTTTAATTTATTGAATTTAATCAATTAATATTAGAGATAGCCTTTACTATCACTTTATAAATGAGAAAACTGAGGCTCAGCAGCTGTAAGACAATTACCCAAGGTAGCACTGTTTGTAAGGATGAAGGTGAGATTTGAAGCATGCTCCATCTGACCCCAAAGTTCATGTCCTTTACAGTTTTCTCCACTGTCAATAGAGCCTGGCACAGTGGAAATCAGAGGAGGGAAAGAGGGAAAAAAGTTACATTTCTCTGGCATCACCCATCGCCATACTTAACACTTACCTTTAGGTCTGGCTTTTGGATGGCTCTATTTATGATACAGTCCTCATCTATAATCAGGGGATGTCCAGGAGTGAGCCCAAATGTGCTGCTTAATGTTGATAGGTGGACCCATGTTACCTTTTTCCAAGAGTAAGTCTGGAATTCGTCCTGAGGAAACAGACACCAAAACCCCATGAAGTTAAGAAAAATCATTAGTCTAAAACTCAACCCAGAAAACATCATTTTATTGTAATTCTGTGAGTTGATGGAGTTAGTAAATATTCTAGACAGATTTACATGCTAATAAAATATGGCAGCTCACTATAGGATCTTCAGGGACAAAGGCTTGTCACCATGTATTAAGGATCCCGGATGTGAACAGGGGCACTGATACATACAGCAGAGCTGGGGAGTGGGAAGTAGCATCTCAAATAAGAGCTAATTTCTTCCATTGCTGTCCATCTTGTGAGGCTATAGCCAGAAGCAACATTTCATAGGCAGAAAAAAGAAGCATTCCAAAGGTTTCAGTGTATCTCCGAGGATAAGGAAGTCAAGTTAATTAAATTTTCTCCATCTTTTGAGGCTTATCTCAAATGCCACCTCTTCTAGGACACTCCTTTAACAAGCTCCCACTGGGACAAAAATAAAAATAAAACAGGAATGATAGCTGTGCTAGTTTAACCATTCCTTGCTTGTGCTCCTAATCATTTCTGTTTTCTCTCAGTGTTAGATCACCTTGAAGGTAGGGACCATGTTTTATTGTTCCTTATCTTCCCCTAGTTATAGAGCAACGAGACCCACTGGATGAAAGTAAAATGAATGGATGAGAAACACTGACTGCATAGATTGAATGTGCTCAAAGGGAACTGTCAAGATGTTAGCAAAGCTAATACTGAGGAAGGTGCCTATTGCATGATCCTAATTGAAATTATTTCCCTTTGCAGTTCACTGAGGGCTTCATTAGAGAATAAAGCTGGAAGGAGCAGTAGGGAGTGGTTGCCAGATATCCAGTGATCCCTTAAAAACTGATCCAATACCAGTATTATTATCTGAGTGGATATAGACTAAATATACGAGCCACTTGGATGCTTGGTGACATCAGGAGCTAGTCAGGAAGACAAGAAGTTAACCCCAGGAAGTCAGCTTTTGGGGAATGCAAGTCAGAGCTGGGAATCATCTCAACCCCATAACCCCTTTTGCTTTGCAGAGTATCTGAGCTGACTCTGCAAAAAGTAAACAAGAGAAAATGCAACAGTTGTACTAAATCTCTTCTACTGACCCTCCTCGAGAGCAGCTCCTGCTGCTTGCATATCCTGAAATACACTCCTTCTCCCCTCTCCTAATACTATAAGCAGCTCAGTTAGATAGAAATTAACATGCAAAGAGGGACTGGGTTCTCAAGGAAGTCAGCACAAAAGTTAAAGACATCAGAATTGTGGCTGGAAGCACATCTGAAGAGTAGGCCTCAAGATAGAGATGCAGTGGCCAGGCCTGCAGGCCCTAAGGGATAAGCAGTAACTTGGAATTATACTGTAATTAGCACCACCTGGTCCAGAAAGTTCAGATAGGCATTAGTTGCTGAGGTGGGTGACCAGAGCATCTGGACCCATCCCTAAAATGCCTTTGTTCTTTCCAAGTACCCTTGCTACTTGACACATTTCCCTATTGGATCAATATTAGCTAAGTGGCTATACTTGTAATTCTATAGGCTAAGATTAGCCTGACCCACGTTGTGCCCCCATTGTGACTTTGTTGTATAAATGACCCCTGACAACAGGCCTTGGTTGCAGTCCACTTTCGGGACCCCTCCTGTCTCTCAGGAGCTATTTCTCAATAAACATTTCCTACTCTTAACCTCCATTGTCCCTTGGAATTCATTCTTCAATATTCAGAGGACACGAACTCAGCACATCTGACATCTAGAAGGTTGCATTATATTTCTCCTATATCACTAAGTCTTTACGTGGCTAAGTCCTAATCATCCTTCAGGGTCCAGCTCAAAGGCCACATCCTGGGAACCACCTTAGTTGCTCTGAGTGATGTCCCTTACAAACCAAGCTGTCAGTTGTCTTACCACACTTTCCCTTGACTGTGTATCCTACCACTCCTCTGAAACTGTGGGTAGGGACTGTGACTGAGGCATCACTGTGCTCCACTCAGGCCTGGCACAGATCCTGAGAAGGAAGGAGGGACAGAGGTAGGGTTGGAGGGCAGGAGGGAGAGGTGGGGGAGAGAAAAGCAAAGCAAAGAGACAAGAGGAGAAACAAGAAATCTGAAAGCTAATGAATTAAATTTAAGAAATTTGAAATTGGTTATTACCCTGTGCAAGGAACAAGATGACTAAATAAAATCCAATCAAACTTGCATGGAGTTATTTTCAGAGCCTGAGAGTGGTTAAAAATGGCTGAATTTCGAATAACCGAGCCACAGACTGAGTGGACATGTGCTAGGTACGGTAAAGTAGGCCACCAAGTCTAGAGCACACCTTGATGTAGCTGAGTGTTATGTGCCTCTGCCTTTGGCCTCATCGAGGGGGCCTTTGCTATGGGGAGAATTTGAGTGTCTAATTATAATAGTAATAAAAATATTTAACAGTCACTGCATTCCACACAGAGCATGTTACACATGCATTATTTCACTTAATACTAAACACCATAAGATTGTTATTTTGATTATCCTACCATTGCATAGAGGATGAAATGATGACACAGTAACTACTAGAGCAGGAATTTGACTGTCCACTCCCATCCCTGTTTGCTCCCCTCGGAGTCCTCTCTAACCCTCTATTCTACATTTGGCTAAAAAAATTTTTTTGACTGGACTGCCATTTTCATATCCAACCTGAACTGGTACCATCAAAGAACAAAGTTCCAATTAAAAATGTGGTGAGAAAGCACATATTTGTCGATAAACTCGAGTGCAAATTGTAAAAGAGACCTTTGGCCACCAAGTAAGGGCAATTAGGGAGACAGTACTCTGAATAAGTGAATGAAAGTATTATCGACTATTAAGTTCCATTTGGTGAGTTAGCAGTTTCTAAAATCATATTTTAGCCGTTATCTCATTTTCGGGTCCCAATTCTCCAAAGTCATTATTAGTGTCATCTCTATTTTTCAGATGAGAAAACTCACTATGAGCAAAGCTAAGAATTGTTCCAGCCCATCTGATGTTGGTAGGAGGGGTAGAACTAGGACCTAAGTTCAGATCACCCCATGTCTAATCTTGGCTGCTTCCTCTTTATTGCAACAAGCTCTCCCATGGCATCTGTGGCTTGTATGTGAACATCACCTTGGATTCTTCACTGTGTAACAAATAGCATCCAGTTTCTCACAATCTCTGCTCACTTGGCAGCACAGAATCAAGCACAGCCGAAAATCAAGCTGTCACCCACCATCTGGCCCAGGGTGACAGCTAACAGCCCTCCAGACTGTCATGCCTAAAAGGAAAATGCAAAGTGGACCCCTGCAACTCCAAATTCTCAAAACCCAAAGTTAATCCAATGTCTTAGTCCAACTGCAATGTCTTAGTCCAGGTGAGTATTAAAAGCTGAAATTGACCTTCACATGTACATCTTCTTTTATCTTGTGGTATCACTAAACCGAAGGTACTTGTATATACTTATTGGACTTTAAGCTCATTTGCTGTTATCCCTTTCTGGTTCAGGAATACACATTGAGAAAAACTGCTAGAAACAGTCTTAATGCCTATATTATTAGCGACTCGATCCTACTAACAGTTATTTACATAGTCTCAAGAGGAATAATCGAGATTGAGCTAAGTGTAATAGGTAGCCCTCCCACACACAACCTGAGCGCCTGCTATGGTGGGGTAGAGAAAGATTTGTTTCTGGAGCTCAAATGGCAACAAAAGTATTCACAGAAGACCATAGCTTGGGGATCTTTTCATAGAGCAAACCCTTCATGTGAACCTAAGGACCATGCGGGTCTTGCTTTCTAGCAAGAAAAGAGTTAAACTATACTTTTCAGGTACTTCCACTAGAGCTCTGAGGGCAATGGTTTTGCTGCAACAGAAGCAGGACTTTGGAAACAGAGAAGCCCCCACCTTTGGAGGCAGGGCCAGACTCTGCAGCTCTGAAGACTTCTGTCTGGATGAGCTGCGTTCTCTAATGCTGCTGGCAGAGCGGAGCCATGGATAGGAAGGAAAGGAAACGGTAGAGGAAAGGGAAATGGAAAGGGAAGGAGGAAATGAAATAAATAGGGGGTGAGACAGGGAAAAGGAAGAGGAAGAAAAGGAAAAGAAAAATCTACTAAGAGTGAAAAATCAAAATAGTGTCAACACACAGACGTAGTACATTTTGGTATTTGGAGCCACTTTTTTTAACTTCTAATCCTTGCACTTTAAATATGTTCTTTAACTGTCTAGGACCTGGAATTACTTCACTTATAAAATAGGGGTAGTAAAGTACTTGTTGCTTCTTGGGCTGCTGTGAGGATGAGGTGAGACTGTGTATGTAAAAACCATTTGCACACTGAGATGGATTCTCAAAAGTCACTTTAAGAGTGTGCACACATGTATGTGTTACTGCTCAAGCAGCACCAAAAGTTTTCTATGCAAAACCACTTGCTATATTCAAGGCACACCTAAGACTAATGCCCTCGTCATCTGGGTTATGTGCTTCCCACCTGTGTCACCCAGCAGGCCCAGCATGCCCTTCTAGGACTGCAGACGTGAGGGAAGCCACCCCATGATTGCGTCCCCAGCCCTCATCTGTCCCCACCAAGATGACCTCTCCTAGTTGCACGCAGTCAATTTTGCAATTGGACACATACCAGAAAACCTCACAAAAGCTCACTCCAAGAGCTACCTTCCTCTATCCTCCTTTCTTTTCATCTTTTAAAGACTCTCCTACGTTCTGCTGCCCCTCCAGAAATAATCAGAGCAATTTCAACTGGTTCCAATCTTGCCTTCTCTGTCTTGATTTTGACTTTAATTTTAATTACCTGCTCTTGTATGTCATTTTAAATGGGTCTGCTCTGCCAGAGATCCTCCAAATAAATGAGGTTCTAAATGAGTCTTTATGTAATTAGACAAGAACTCAATTATTTCAAACATTCTTACATCTGAGGCTTAGATAAAAAAAAAATAAGCTTGGGGCATCAATAGTTTAAAAGTCTGCTGCTATTTGCATTAAGATAACACCTTAAAAAGATTTTATTTGAATTATATTATAACTGGACTGTAACAGCTTCCCATTAAGGAGGATTAAGTGACTCCTATCTGAAAATATGCTATGTATTTGTTCTCCATGTTATTAAAAAATCAGCACTTGGTATTTATCATCAATCTCATACTGGTAAGATTACAGATCATTAGCACAGATACTGATTAAGTAGTGATTTCCTAACATTTTTTTTAAAGGCCATGATTTACTTACTGAAAATCTTTAGTATTCAGTTTATTTTCAGTTTCCCTTTTCTCATTAAGCAGCGCTAAGAACAGGATTTCTTAATCTTTCACCAAAAGATAAGAGGAATTATTATGTTTAAATTTTATACATGCTAAAGTAGGATTTTATTCATGATTCATCTATTTCTGAATTTTAACCAATATCTGTAGTGGTGCCACATTTCTATGCAAACAACATGATTTACATTCACTGGTGATTTGAATTAAATGCTCCTGATGATTTCCATGGTTTCCATCTTTGTGATAATTACAAACACATTCTTTTTCCTTCAATGTCATTGTACTTCGCATGCTGTCAGAGACTCAAGATGTGTGGAGAAATTTGTGATGATTAGATTTGAGGCTTGACTCAAGCCGCTTCATTGTGATGTTTTAACAGGCAGCATTTTCCTTTCAGTTTCAGTTAAAGATGCCAGAGCTAGGGGCTTCAGTTCACAAACTTAGAAACTCTGCAATCAGCCATGTAGGTGGCACCCTGAAGTCTGCCAGCCCACAGGGAGCCTCACCTGGCAGCAGAATCCCTGCTTACTGGATTCCTGACCCTGCTAACCCTGGGGCTTGTTCTCTCACAGCCCATGCCCTGCACATCAGCAGGATACTTTGTTTTGTCTGTACTTTTACCCAAAGTTTCTTCTGATAGCCTCTCTCCTATTCATTTATTCATTCATTTATTTATTCATCTACTTATATATTCATTCACTTGTTTATTAATTCAGTAGGTATTTACTGAGTACAAATAAAGACCAGACATTGTTACAGGCACTGGGAATATAGCTATGAATAAAACAATAAAATCCTTGTCCTTATAAAATGATGTTCTAGTGCAGAGTCCTCTCTCTCTCTTTCTCTCTCTCTCTCTCTCTCTTTCTCCTTGGCGAAGAAAGTAGTTGCTTTATTAAAACCTCCTCATTCCTCAGCCACACATCACCTTCTCTATTAAGTCTTTGTTGATTCACTTCCTGCCCTCATTCTGGAGGAAGTTAACACTGCTCTGCATTCAATTTTTGCTCTCTGTTTTCGTGTCTCACTGCTATGGTGCTTTGCAGTTTGCCTTGTATTAAAATGTTCTTCACTTTGTAGTTTATTTTATGGAGTATCATCCATGATTTCCTGATAATAACTCTGGAAAATGGGTATTATCATCTCCATTTTATGGATGACAATACAAAGAGAACAAGTAATTTTACCACCTAGGGAATGTCGAAGCCAGGAGTTCCCACATTGCATTTCTATTTCCTTCATAAACTATGGGCACAGGTGAATCCCAGGCACAGTGCTAGTTTATGGGCAGGGGCATGAGGAGGGAATATATTGATCAATGAAAGCAGGATTCATGGAGCTCATCAGATCACTACACAAATAAATGTAAAAATCCAACTATTAAAGTGTTACTTAGGAAAGTTTCGTGATTATGGTAGGACTATATATAACAGAGATTTAATGAAGTCAATATAATCAGGACAGCCTTTCCTGAGTTTCAAAAAGATAAGTGTCAAAAGTGACAGTGGCTGGTGGGGACAGGCACGTGGGGACAGATCCCAGGAGAGGAAATCATGTAGGCAAAGAATTTGAACCCAAGTCTTCTGACTCTCTCTGTGGTATATTCCCTTTTCTCCCCTCACAGTACTAATTCCTTTCTATCGTTTTCCTTCTAGAGATTATACATATTTTTAAAACAGTGCTTGGTGGTTTATTTTTCATTCTTTAAAGCAGCTAGCATATGGCCATAGTAGGTGCTCAATAAGTATTTAATTAAATTAAATAAACTGAACCTGTAATAAATAGTTTTGTGGTTTCTACTACTATTTCATTTTAAAAATGCTAAAGTAAAGTGCCATAGATGAGAAAGCAAGAGAGTTTAGTATCAGGTTAGGTACACATTTCCTCTTCTAAAGCCCATTTCCCTACTCTCCATTTCAATATAGATTTTCATCAGACATCACCCAGAAACCTCTGAGGTTCTGTGAACTGTCCTCTGAGAAATGACTCTATGCTAAGATAAAGTTTTGAGGTCATTCATGTCTATAATGCTGTTCCATTTACATTGTAATTTAATGGTTTGGAAAGTATTTACACACATTTGGCCCTTTCTACAGAGACTATTTGTCCTCCACTTTACTGATGGTGGTACCGAAAGTTAAATCAAATGTTCAGAAGCACAAGAACTGAGAGCTGAAGGACAGTAGAAACTAAAGAGCTCATCACTTCCTGTCCAGTGACCAGACTCTAGGACTGGAGCTGGATTTGGTCTCAGGCGCCATTCTTGCCTTGCCTTAGGCAATGCACTTGTCTACCAGAGCTGCCACAAGCAGAATCCCACAGTCTGGGTGCCTTGATCAACAACATTGCATTGTTTCGCAGTTCTGCAAGCCAGAAGGTCAAGATCAGGGAGCCAGCAGGGCTGGTTTCTAGTGAGACCTCCCTGCCTGGCTTGAGAAGGCCACCTTCTTGCTGTGTCCTCAATGCCTTTGCTCTGTGTTCTCCCACTTCTGGTATCTGTTATTCTCTTTCTATGGACATGAGTCCTGTTGGATTCATGCATCACGTATGACTTCACTAACCTAAATTACCTTTTAAAGGCCCTACCTGCAAATATTTTGGAGGTTAGGGCTTCAATATATGGACTTGAGGGTGGAGCCCACACATTACTCCATAGAGACAAGCTGCTCAACCCCTTCTGCCTCTATTCCCTCTTCTATTAAGACTAAAGCAACACCTATGTCCTTGTGAGGACTAAATGAGAGAATATGTGTGACACGTTGGGAAGAAAGCTGTGCCTGGGATGCAGGCACTCTGTAGACATTGGCTAACTTTTTACTGCACACTGCTTCCCTAGGCATTGAACCAGGTAATCTACTGCTCTCCCTCCACTCACAAAACAACTAAACAAACAAACCCAAAAAATCTGATTTCTCAAAAACTATATGTTGAATTATTCTGGATTTCTTTTTTTTTTTTTGGTTGTTGTAAACACAAACATTGCTTTTGACTTTTCATAAGAGTTCTGTTTCTCTGTCCCCCTTTTTGGCCAATATGCCCCATTGGTACTGAGATAATAATTAGTGCATGAGTTCTCCAATGCTAGAGCTTTCTCTATGTGTCACATAGCTAAATCAAACATTCTAACTAATGTTGACCATTTTCAGCTGAGCAACATTGGGTGTATGTGGTTAATGTATCAAGAACATCAATCACCCTGGCCAAGAGTAGAAGAGAAAAGGAATAAAATGATATACACAAAAATAATAGTATTTTGCCAAAGTAATGAGTCTGCAAGGGTAGTAGCTATCACATGGATCAGGTTCACATGTCCACTATTTCCTGAAACATAGAATGGTATCAGGGTCACATGTCAGCTCTGTTTCCTAAAACATAGAACAGGTAGCTCTTGAGGGCCAGGGATGTGACTCAGTGGCATCACACCTGCCTGACAAGTGCAAGGTCCTGAGTTCAATTCCTGGTACTGGAAAAAAAGACGTGTAGCTCTTGAAGGAACCAGGATCCAAAATGAGGAGTGGAGTTGGCCCCATAGAAACAAGTCAACAAAGACAAATTCCATACAACTCCAAATTTGGTTGAACGTTAGTCTGAGCTTTGTTAGAAATCAGATTGCAATACAGACTTTTTTTGACCACTGTAATCTTGCTGCTATCCTTCTCCCTTACTGCATTAAGTAAATGTTTATCTGTAAGGATTGCTATACATACAAAAAAAGCCCTTAAATTCCTAACACAGGTTTATTTATCAAGAATCTGGTTGTCACTCTAGGTCATGTGGTGCCAAGGTCATTTGATGCCTTATCAGAACCACTGAGTAAGTCAGACAGAAAGGAATGCTCCATGAGACTGCCCTTTCATTCTCTCCAGGAGAAACAGGGAGGTCAGCCTGAGAACCACCTCTTATTAATGGAACCCCTGGAACTCGGGGTACAGCAATTAAGTTAGAAAGTCACTTCCCATGTGGAATTTACCTGCCTGCAGAAATGGCTCACGTTGTCTGAGTGGATTGGGAGCACATACAGAGAAACTCACCAGTTAGTTCAGTTTACCAGAGGGGCAATGACCTTGGGGACAAGATGGCTACTTTTTTATCCCAGTATATCTGCAGAATGCAACATATCCCCAGCAATAACCACGGTTTTCTCAAATCAGCAGGAGGAGATGGCATCATCATCAGGGGGATCCTCCCATCTCTGTCCCAAATCCCGCTCCCCTTCCTCTGGGATCACACCAGTGGGGCGACTAGACATGGATAAAAAGCCTCTAAGGTGAGGGCCAGTGTGAATTCTGCGACTTGTGGCCTGATTTAACTACTTCACACTACTTATTACTTTTAGCTGTTGTCATGGTTATTCTCTGCTCTAACATTCAAAAAGGTCAAAATTTTAAGAGGAATATCCTGTGACATAGGTCTTCTTAAACAAATGGCAGCATACAAAAATCACGCTACTCTTGGTAAAACGGAAGGCTATGACAGACCCTGAGGCGGGGCCACCACCTGCCACCTGTCTTGTGCACATCTTCCAGGGCCATTCCCCAACACGATGTCCAGAAAGGGGCCATCAGCTGCAAAACCAGGAGCATACTTACTGTGGTCCTCAGTAAAACTGTGTCTGCTTCTTGCAAGGAACATGGGACACAGTTTCCCCAAACGTGCCATGCCGGTCTCCAGTAAAACACCAAGGGGAGGACACCCAAGGACAAGATGGATCCAGCAAGACAGAGGGCTTTCCGGCAGCTGCAAGTCCGATAGCCAAATATTTCCTGAAACAGAATCACAGTGAATCCAGATATTGGTTAAGTGCAACTGATGAACAAAGGCTGATTTTAAGCAATGCACTGGGGGCAGAGGAAAAGAGTAGATAAGAGTGTGGAGCAATCATGATGGGAGATGGAAAGAGTAGTAGGATCCCTGACAGAGAAGTTTCAGAGTTGACCCAGACCTCCAAGAAAGAGCAGTTTAGCCAGGAAAGTCAGTTCCAAAGCTTGAGCAGTCAGCTACCCTGGGTCAAGCGCTAGGTGTTCAGATATATGGGTTTCTCTAAGTCCCCCAATCATCCCTGTCCTTAACATCCCTAAAGTGAGATAACATTACCCTCATTTCACTAACAATGAGACTGAGCTCAAAACAACTGAATGGAATCACTTGTCCAAGGCCACCCAGCTAGAAGTTCTACTGCTAAGGTCCAAATCCGAGTCTGTCAGCCACCAATGCTTGAATTTGATTCATAGCCTAATAGGCATGACCATTAGCCATGTGAGCCATGTGACAGGAAGGCTAGCTGATGCGTGACCAAATGATTCCCTTAACTAGGACCAGGGACATGCACAGGAGGGACTACAACCAGGCCTTGAGTTGGAGACAGGATTTGGTGAAAGAATTTGATCATGAAAGGAGTAACAATCAACCTGCCTTTGGGTGTTTAAGGTAGAGCTATAGGTTTCTGTAATCTTCCCTTGTTCAGTAACAAAACAAATCTTATATGAAGTGTGAAACCCACAGGGACTTCTTGGTTTATTTCACCTCACGCTCTTGAGCACCTGCTATGTGTCATGAGAAGATATTATTTTATCCTACAGAGTATAAATTTGAACAAGATAGGAGTCCCACTTCTAATACATGTATAATCCAGACAGACTTCTTCCTTCCAAGAAAAGTCTGGGCCAGAATAGAAAATGAGCCCCTAAAGATTATGGCTTCCATCCCCCACTGCAACTCACAAAGTCCTATACACTGGGTGAAGTTGAAAACTATGGAAGTTGTTTACCTTTTTTTAAATTATAGTAAGAGAACACATTACTATGAGTCCTCCTCAAAACACTCCCCCTTTCTTCCAACGCACTTATCCCATTGTCCTTGACACTTTCTAAAGCAGTTCTGGGACTCCTCTCTCGTGACTGTCTTTGGTTTTGCTGTCGTGGCTGCCTTGATGTCTTGAATCGACTCAAAATGTTTGCTTTTCAAGGTCACTTAGACTTTGGGGAAGAGCCAGAGATCACATAAGGCCAGTTCTCATGAATAAGGTGGATGAGAACACACTGTCATGTTTTTACCAGCCTGCCTTTCTGTTGGATGGCACTTGGCAGCAGCATTCACTGAATTTTCACCACATCTTGTAAAGACACTCATGAAAGAGGACTCCAGAACTGCATCACAAACTGGCAATACTGCAGGGAGTATTTTGAGGGGAATGAATGGCAATATATCTTTTACTGTAATAAACTTTTAATGTAAATTTACACCATATATTTTGATCATGACTTATACTTTTTGCTGATTACAATGGCTAAAACTAAGAAGTCATAGAATGTCACAGTTAAAAGGACAGATACTAGCTCTTTCACTGGGTGTGTGACCTTCACTAAGCTATTTAACCTCTTTGTTCCTCAGTTTGTCATCTGTAAAATGGGAGTAGTGATGCCCTCGCCTTACAGGGCTGCTGGGAGCTCTCAGTCAATGGCCATGTGCAAGGGCTACAGGAGCAGCTGCTGTGCAATTGATCCCACTTCCCTAGTGGAGCGCTGAAATTCCAGCCCCTGGTTTATTGGGCAGTAGAGCCAAGGATTCCTAGTGTGGACAGTGGATAACAAGGGAGTTGAACAGAAGACTTTACACCCACTCACTTCTCTGTCTCATCTGATAAAGACTACATTACCAGAAAAGTTTCCCTGACCTGCGGCTGAAGGCTGCTTACACGTGTAATTATTAGGCGACTTTCTATTATTTGCAGAACTACAGGAACTGAAAGGTATCCTGAGACACTATCTACATCGGGTGTAACTTTTATAAAATGTTCACATTAACTCAGAAATACAAGCCCTGGACTTATTGTGCAAAGCAGAATGTCCACCCTGACATGAGTACTCTTTGGCCCCAAGCTCACCCCATTGCTTTCCAGATGCCAAGGCTGGAATAGCTCTGCTCTCACATCCCACCTGCCACACGCACAACAGGTTCAGCTCTTAATGTCCCTGTCCTGAGTCCAGCCACCATCTGTTCCATTTGCTTTTCTGTTTCTACACTTTAGCACAGATCAACTTCTCCCCGCTCCCAAACCTCATCATTTTCTTATTTTTTAAAAAATATACATTTAACAGTTTTCTTATATTTCCATCCAGTTGAGTCCCATGTAGCTGGCCCAAGCTACTCTGTTCTGTTATGCGAACCTCTCTGTTAGCATGCCTTCTTTATGGCCTGTACAGTCAGAGACCTCTATATCCAAATTATCTCCATGTTCATTATTAAGATAAAAGAAACAGAAATCATTGTCTTCATTCTCCAGTTAAGAAAACTGAAGTTCAAAGTTACTATATATAATAACAGTTATTATTTGTAACTAATTATTATCGATAACAATGCCAGCAGCTAACATTTATGGGGCACTTAAAAGTGCTTCACCAAGCACTTTACACATACTCTCCCAATTAGTTAAAAACTATTCACTAAGTTTCCCAAGGTTCAAAGCTTATAAGTAACTCAAAACTGGGCTTCCAGTGTAGACATCTATAATTCAGGAAGATAATTATGGGAGCTGGCCAGTTGTACTCTACAGCTCTTCTTCCTATTTCTAATTTCAGTTTAATTTACTAAATGTTTATTAAGCTCCTGCTAAATGGAGCCATGTTCTAGACCCAGAAATAAATGAGACAATATCTCTAGCATTAAGGAGTCCATTAGTTTAGTGGGGAAGAGAGACACAGAGATAAAATTTAGCAAAGAGAAATGAACAGCTTATAGAGAAAAGTGACTTTACAAATTGTCATCTGAATCCAATCAATAATAACACTGGAATAACAATAGACAAGAGTGTCCCAGGCAAGGCAAGCAAACCACTTTCTGTTAGACCTCAGTGTCACTACTCTGAAAGCTCCCTGGCTCTCTGGATGGTGTACACTACAAGTCCATTCAGTGGCTCCTAACCCATAACCCTGCTGAATTTTCTGCAGAAAGGATGAAAAATGTGGACAAGGAATGTTCAATTATTCCTTACTGCAGTGAGTCGAATTGTGCTGACTCAAAGTGAACTGCATAGCAGGAACTATTAACAGGCATGGGTTTCAAATTGCAAAAATTAATATGGTCCCATTATTATCAACTGGCAGCAATTTGCTGCCTACATTTCTAGAGTGTCCTCCGTGTCCCTGATGCTTGAGAGAACCCTACCTGCCACCCTGCACTCCACCAACTCTTACCTCCCACAAAAAGGGATCAATGAGCCAAAACAAGAACATGAGAAAAATATTAAAAGACTATTACACAAATAATTAAACTTGTGGTAAGCTATGTGCATTACGGAACAGCAAAGTGCCCCTTTATCCGTCTCCTGCCTACACATTCTGTTCTTCCCTCTCTGAGCAGCCAGGTCTCTTTCATTCTTAAGTCAACTCTGGCTTCCAGGTGTCTAGGGCTTCTCCCCTACAGTGCCACTAAGCTCAGAAGCCAAACGAGGTTCCCTAAAACAACAGTTTAAACTTTCCTAGTCAACAAAAGGTTAATAGAGAACCAAAATCTAAAGACCTTCTCCTCAGAAACACACACACACACACACACACACACACACACACACACACGACCATCTCCATAAACATTTGGAGTAGGAGGAAGATTTCCAGGCTTTCCACAAGGCCCTGGTTGAGAAAGGTCATGAGGCTGAATCAAGCAGATCTTTCAGAATTTATTCTCAATAGTTTAACTTAGGGCCTGACATCAGGTAAGAACTTGGTGACTACAGAAGTGTGAAGACACAAGAACCTGGAAATACAGGTAAGGGTGAGAACTGGGACAAGACAGTGGCTGTCTCCGAAGGAGCTGTCTAGGGTGATATCATTGCATGGCGACCTCTACATCCTGAGAGTGGCTCTCAGCCTCCTAGTCCCAGAAAGTGCCAGCAGGACATGTCTCACCAGGAAGGCTCCAGAGAAGCAAATCTCAGAGGCATGCGTACAGTGAGAGAGGGAAATGAGTGTAACTGTCACACCAACCAGATAAATATGAGGTGCAACACAAAAACCACAGTGGATGCTTACATTTAAAACAAAGAATTTGCGGCAATAAAAGACACATTGCCATGAATCCCCCTTGTTTCCAACACACTTTTCCCATCATCTTGCCACATTCTGAGGCCATTCTTGAAGTCCTCTTTCCTGAGTGTCATTACATGTGCTGGTGTGGCTTCCTTGGTGTCCTGAATTGATTCAAAACATCCACCCTTCAAGGTCATTTTGACTTTGAGGAAGGGCCAGAAGTCACAAGGCACCAGATCCAGTGGATGCGGTGGATAGGAATTCACTGTCATGTTTTACAAATGGCGAGGAATATTTTGAGGAGGATTAATGGTAATGTGTCTCTCACCATAATAAATTTTGAAAATTTAAACATGCCTGGTATTTTTCAACCACCCTGTATGTGTGTTGGTATGAAGAGCACATCCTCCCTCCAGCAGCACTGTGTCGCCATCGGGACTGTCCTGCCCTCAGGGCCAGATGCAAGCATAGTGCTTGAAACGGGCTCTGATATCTTCTCTGACCATTTCTCCCCAACGCTATGTGTCTTTCTTCCACAAATTAATTCATTCAATCAAATTACAGTCAAATCTTCTTGGCCTGGGGAGGATTCAGTCTCCAGAAGACAATTTTGCATTTCTCTACAAGTGTCATTAAATATTTGAAAGTTTTAAATAGTTTCCATTTTTAAAAGTTTACCTCCCTGAAGATAATTTCTTTTACCTATTTCCAATGTTGAGTATGAAAAGAATGCTTCACTG